CCTGTCCACAGACTTTGACGATTATAGCCTTCAGGAAAGAGCAACTCGATAAAGATACTTTCAAGATCTTACTCAGTGCTGGGCCTACATATGCTATTATGAACTTCATTGAATGTAAATTTCGCTGACTGACGCTGTTGGTCTTAAGATTAGAAAATTCAGAGTCAGATTGTAGATTTGTACATGTATCTTACTGTCGAGCATCACTTGTTTGTCATTTATGCAGGTTTTCTTGATGTCGTACTTATGTTTGGCGCCTACAGCATGACAAGAGGCATGGCTATATCCAGGCTGGTTATCAGGTTTCTCTGGTGGGGCTTGGGCTCAGTATTTGTGGTATATGTTTATGTGTATGTATCCAATTTATTCCTGTGAGCTACTTCTTCGGGACAAAGTCTGTCTGGAAAATGGCTAACCTTTTGGAGAACACATATTGCAGGAGGGTTCTGCAGGAAAGAAATAAACCAAACTCGGATGAGTTTTTATTCCGCTTATACATTCTTGTATTGGGTTGTTATGCCGCTGTTCGCCTCATCTTTGCACTTTTAGTCAAACTTCCAGCATGCCATGCTCTGTCGGGAATGTCAGATCATTCTTTCTTCCAGTTTTTTAAGTGGATATATCAGGTATCCATTTATTAAGATTTTAGATAATAGAAAAAGTAGCATTACGAAGCACATTGGTGATGCTTCTTCTCTCTTTCAGGAACGATACTTCGTTGGACGTGGCCTCTTTGAGAATTTAAGCGATTATTGCAGGTTATTTCTATCTGCATCTTCAATACAAAAAAAAAAAAAGTTCATTGTAATAGTTAGTACTCTGCTTGCGTTAGCTGGCTAGTTGAAATACATCTGCTTAATCGAAAATAAGTTTTGGAATATGGATGAACTACAGACATATAATCAATTTGATTGCGTAGAGAGATCTGGCTGTAGAGTATAGACATCCTGCTCGTCAAAGTGTCAGTTTGCACCTAAAAAATTCGTCATTTTGAACAGAAATTGTTTGAATGACTAAGTGGCTGTCATAGACGGTTACAATGGATTTGGGCTCTTAGTAGAATTTTGTAAAAGACCTTGGTTATTCGAACTTTTCCCTTTAACATTCAGGTATGTGGCGTTTTGGTTGATTGTCCTGGCCGCCAAGTTCACATTTGCATACTTTCTCCAGGCAAGGATGTTTCTACACTTAATTCGCTAGTGCATATATTTATAGAGTTGTGTAATGTCTCATCCCCGCGTCAAACTATGGTGTACTCATTGAAAAAACAAGGGGCTCTGCTACCACACTAAACTTAGGGGACATTGTACGGCTGTATTTGTGCAACTGTTATGTTGATACTTTGTCCTTCTGCATCATCTAATTTGTTGATGCCTTCTTCTGTAAAAATAGTAACTTTGTGCGCGTGCAGCCTGGTTACAATATATATCTGGTTTAGAAAGTAATTTACTAAGCGCATGTATGATGTTACACTGATGGATTAATCATTTTTTGTGTTACAGATCAAACCACTCATTAAACCCACCAAGACTATCATTAATCTTCCTGCGTTTCAATATTCGTGGCATGATATCGTCTCAAAAAGTAAGTGCCTGTGTACTTAGATACTATCGGAAATAATTGAGCGGCTCTAAATTGGCTTAAGATAGCTATGATGTGACAACAAGACTTAACAATAACTCTATAACCTGGTGAAGTTAGCCACATATGAGTCATTTAGTCTGTTTTATTGGCTACAAGATCTGTGGGACTTCAATTGATGAATATCGGATATGATTGAGCAATCCCGATACATATTAATTTCGTACTGTTGACGTCTTTGAAATTGTTGTTGATATGCATCTGCTACATTGAAATATTTGCAGGTAACGATCATGCGTTGACCATTGTAAGCTTGTGGGCTCCAGTTGTGGCGGTAAGTACTTACCTCTTCTTCCTCATAATTTTTGGGTTGAGGTGTTTGTCATTGTTTTGAGATATATAACCCGGTGCCAATGAGATTGCTTGATACAATGAAATGCATACTACTATGATGAATCTTCATTATAGCTAGAGAAAGTAATTGTATGTGCTTATGTTTTCTTCTGTTAAAGTAAAATGACAGCTTTACTAGATCTTTGTTTTGGGATAAATATTAGTCGATGGTTTTAAACGGCAATTGTGTTTCTCTTTCCTAAAATGTTGAGGCAAAAATTGACCTGTACTTTTTTGTTTCACATTTGGGGAGGTAGTCTAAGTCATATAAAAGTGCAAGGTGTTTCTTTTAAGTCTAATTTTCTTTTGTGGCTACTTGTCATTAACTTGTGTCCTTTGAAAATTACTAATTGTGAGATTTGGTCTATGTGTAGATATATATTATGGATCTTCATATATTCTACACAGTCTTGTCTGCAATCATTGGTGGTGTGATGGGTGCAAAAGCTCGTTTAGGCGAGGTACTGATGTGTACTAGAATTATCTACTACTCTTTGATGCTAATGCCTTCTGTTTCATATTGCTATTCCCCTTACTAACCAGGTGCAATTATCTGTCTATTTTAGATACGCTCCATAGAAATGGTTCATAAGCGTTTTGAGAGTTTTCCAGAAGCGTTTGCCCAGAACCTTGTCTCCCCTGTTGTGAAAAGGTAAGTTGAATCTATTTTTTTGTTTGTTGCGCTCCTTTCGCCGCCTAACCTCTGTTGTAATGATATATTTCAGAGTACCATTTGACCAACATGCTTCTCAGGTTAGTAATAAGTTTTTCGGTCTTACCACTTGCTTAGAGCTATTCTTCCATTGTTATCTTCCATTGATAGTTCTTTGTCTAAAAATTGCTCAGCAATCTAATTCTAGACAAACAATGTGTTCAGAAAAAGTAGATGTTTTGTACTGGCTGTTTTGGCTACACTGGACATTTGTTTGTATCTTATGCTTGTAACTCTATCTAATAGGGGAAGTTAAGTAGGTAATGCTTGTTATTGTTTATGTTTTTTCATGGAATTATGAGGGTACTGTAATTTTTATGCAATAGAGTTTAGCTTTCTGAAAGTCTTTAAATTGTATCCAAACGATTAAATAGTATGGTCCTCTTTCAATAATTTTCTGGATAATATGGTTTTGCATGAAGAGAATGCAAATTTAGCGCCTAATGTTTTATTTTCTCCTAATACTTCACTTTTCCTTATGTGTGCTCCCTTTTTCCTCTTCATCGATGATTGTGCTCAACACTGACTGTTATCTTACTATTTCACGCTGTCTATTGCTCTTTATGTTGTGGAAGTTAAATATTGATTCTTAGTCTTTGGATTTTCCTAGAACTTTTCTTTCATTATAATGATTTATTCTTAGACTTTTCCGACTGGTTGTGTAGGATGGTCAAGATATGAACAAGGCATATGCTGCAATGTTTTCGCCATTTTGGAATGAGATTATAAAAAGCTTGAGAGAGGAAGATTATATCAGTAACAGGTTAATAATTTTTGCTTGTTTTTGTGTTCTTTCGCTTTGTTTATACTTTGTGCAGCACCTCTTACTCATACATTGATTTTCTTTGATTTTAGGGAGATGGATTTGCTTTCTATTCCCAGTAATACGGGGAGTCTTAGACTAGTCCAGTGGCCCTTGTTTCTCCTCTGCAGTAAGGTGCAGCTTGTTGAATAATTTCCTTCTTTAAAATTGGGATTGCAGGCTTGACGTTTCTCTCTTGTGTGAACTATTCTGGCTTCTTTTTGTTTTTCAGATTTTGGTAGCCATTGATTTAGCCATGGAGTGCAAAGAAACACAGGTCGAACTTTGGAGACAAATATGCGATGATGAATACATGGCGTATGCAGTTCAGGAGTGCTATTACAGCGTTGAAAAAATATTGAATTCCATGGTTGATGGTGAAGGGCGACGTTGGTACAGTCTTTCAATTTGTGTGATTCTCAATGTTTATTTAATATGCCAATATCAATTTCTGTTAACCATATATTACTATTTTTCGAATTTAACACTTGACATTTATGTTTATGCCTCTTTTTCACTCTGATAATAGGGTCGAAAGAATTTTTCTGGAGATTAGCAACAGTATACATGAGGGTTCGCTTGCTATAACCTTAAATCTTAAGAAGCTTCAGTTGGTGGTTTCCAGATTTACTGCATTAACTGGGCTTTTGGTACGTCTTCTCTGCAGGCTTAATTTCTGTGAAGTAATGGTTTTTTATTGGTAAAAAGTTTAAACAAATTGGATGTATTATACCAGTTATGCTGAAAGCTTGAATTCTAAGAATTAATGCTACTTTCAGCAATCGACAGTTGTAACTGGCGTCTTTCATGCTTAGTATTGATAGCTAGAATCTTAGTTGTTTCATCTTGTTTGCGTTAGTTCGCTGAACATTCTCTGTGACAAAATGGCATGTTCCAGATACGAAATGAAACTACAGATCTTGCTAAAGGCGCTGCAAAAGCTATGTTTGATTTTTACGAGGTGGTCACCCATGAACTTCTTTCACATGATTTGAGGTAATTACTAGGTTCATTTCCTCACAGAAATCTCAACAACCGTCCCAGACAAAATATCTTATAATTTCACTTCTATGCATCAGGGAGCAGCTCGATACATGGAATATTTTAGCACGGGCACGAAATGAAGGGCGTCTCTTTTCCAGGATAGAGTGGCCTAGGGACCCAGAAATAGTAAGCTCTTGTATAAGAAGCAAGAAGGAAATTTATTCCAAATACTGGTTTTGTGGCCTTACGCAGATAAATTTATGTTGATAACTGCAGATTGAGCAGGTCAAGCGGCTTCACCTTCTTCTCACTGTGAAGGATGCTGCTGCTAATGTCCCCAAAAATCTTGAAGCAAGAAGAAGATTAGAGTTTTTTGCAAATTCTTTATTTATGGAAATGCCCCAAGCAAGGCCTGTTGCTGAAATGGTACCATTCTGGTATGTCCGGTAGCACTTGCCTCGCATTTAACTTAATATCTCTTCCTGCGGATTAATTACTTTTTTAATGTTTATGTGAACAGTGTCTTCACCCCCTACTACAGCGAGACAGTGATCTATAGTTCCTCAGAACTGCGAAGTGAGAATGAGGATGGGATATCTATTCTTTTTTATCTTCAGAAGATATTTCCTGGTATGTACCTTCTGCTCTAGGTGTTTGAGGTTACTTACTTAGTGAATTTAGTCATTAGCTGAGATCTATGCTTTTTGGTTTTAGACGAATGGGAGAACTTTTTGGAGAGGATTGGAAGGTCTGATTCAACAGGGGACGTTGATCTTCAAGAAAGCTCAACTGATGCTTTGGAGCTTCGGTTTTGGGTATCTTATCGAGGACAGACTTTAGCAAGGACAGGTACAATGTATATTGATTATTACTCCTAAATAACATTCTAAAAAACACATTTAAATTCAATAGGCTTGTGTTTTAATGTGGAAATCTGGTGTTCTTCATGCTTGAGTGCCTGATTTAATGTGTTCTTATGGACCTAAAGTGCGAGGTATGATGTATTACCGAAGGGCTTTGATGCTCCAGAGTTTCTTAGAAAGGCGGGGCTTGGGAGGTACCTAGTTTATGAATTATTTTGCAATATTCAGTTCAATGGAAAGGCATGATTTGTCACAAGAACTTTTTTTTGGTATAGTCGATGATGTTTCTCTGGCAAACATGCCACGAGGATTTGAATTGTCACCTGAAGCACGAGCTCAAGCAGACCTGAAATTTACGTATGTTGTCTCTTGCCAAATTTATGGGCAACAGAAACAGCAAAAGAAACCAGAAGCTACTGATATTGCACTTTTATTGCAGAGGTGTGAATTAATTTCTTTGTTTTATATTTACTGATCTTTTATTTCTGGTTATAACTTCTGAGGCATAATCATTCTGTTAGCCATGAAGCTCATTACTTCATAGGAAGTGGTATTTCAGTTCCTTCTTTTGTTTGTTGATTGTTCTTTGGTTGTCTAGATACTTGGTCGCAGTAAAACCTTGTGGTTGTTACATTTTATTTGTTGACTGACTTGGCTTCTACACTGAGCATTAGTACAGAGATCCAGAAATGAAAAACTTGCAAGTATTTGAAACTTTTATTTGGGTGGCATTTGAGCTTCATATATATTTGGTGTTATCTTTGAATTCTCATCAACTCTGTCTTGACAACACCTTACACATATCTTATGTATCAATTTTTTGTTATTTCAACTAGGTACGAGGCACTTAGAGTTGCCTTCATTCACTCCGAGGATGTTGGAGTGGAAGGAAAAAAGGAATTTTATTCTAAGCTAGTAAAAGCTGATATTCACGGAAAAGATCAGGTACATTATATTCATTATTTTTGTTAAATCTTGCAATTGTCAATTTGTCAAATCGGTTTTGGATGTTGAAATTCACCAAAATAGAATGGTGGAATAGGTTTTCCCTTGGTCTAATAGTTCTCATTTTCTCCATCTGGAACAATGATATTTAGCACACACTGCTTCACTTCTGCTACAGGAAATTTTTTCAATTAAACTTCCCGGGGATCCTAAACTTGGAGAAGGAAAACCTGAGAATCAAAATCATGCAATCGTTTTCACGCGTGGAGAAGCTATCCAGACCATAGATATGAATCAGGTTTTTCATCTTTTGTTTTTCCTGCTTTCCTCTGTAATTTTCCTGCAGATTTCCATATTGACAGTAAGAAGACTTAGTGTTAGTTAGGTTGAGTGAGAGAGTTGTACTTCATTGTCTTAGATTCCTAAGGTCTGTTTTTGACCATCATTGATCAAGTTGCCAATTGCCGTTGGTCTTCTCCTCACATAACAGTTATCAGTAACTGGGAAATCTAATGAACAAATTAAGTAGCAGCCATATGTTGGCACCTTTTCGTAGTGTGGCTACTCACCAAAAACGTTTTCTTTTGATCCACTATATTCCTATTCTGTTCTTCAGGACAACTATCTGGAGGAGGCAATTAAAATGAGAAATCTACTCGAGGAGTTTCATGGAAAACATGGAATTCGACCTCCTACTATTTTGGGAGTTCGAGAACATGTTTTCACTGGAAGGTTTGCAGTCTTATCCTTGAAAATTTTTTGGTTGTATTATATGTTTATTTGTATTTGTATCTCCTTTACATGGTGGCGGATTGATATTGCAGTGTTTCATCATTGGCGTGGTTTATGTCCAATCAAGAAACCAGTTTTGTGACTTTGGGTCAACGTGTCTTAGCATATCCACTTAAGTGAGTATGCTCGCTGCAGACTTCATTTTTCATTCTCTGGTTAATTGGATTTTTTTTATATAATCTATTATCACTTTCAAGCGACACAGTTAAATTTGTGCAAAACTAATCTTGCAGAGTTCGAATGCACTATGGGCATCCAGATGTGTTTGACAGAGTCTTTCATATAACCCGCGGTGGTATCAGCAAAGCATCCCGTGTGATTAACATCAGTGAAGATATATATGCTGGTAATTGTTGTAGATCAGTTTATTCAATCTGAGTCTAATATATTTTATTTTAAAAAGCTATTGATTGCTTTGCACATAATGGTTCTTTATTTGATAACTCTTAATGTTTCCATTTTTAACTGTGTTTAACACTCTAATAACTTTGAACATGATATATTCTTAAAGGCTGAGCCTTTTTACCTATAACTTAAGACAATGTTTTGCAGGATTTAACTCGACACTCAGGCAGGGAAATATCACCCACCATGAGTATATTCAGGTCAACAACGTGCTCGCATATAATGTGTCTTTGCTCAGCTTGTATCTTCTGTCGATCTGACTACATGATCTATACATGTTCTTTCATGTAGGTTGGTAAAGGAAGAGATGTAGGACTAAACCAGATTGCCCTATTTGAAGGGAAAGTAGCAGGTGGAAATGGAGAACAAGTCCTTAGTAGGGATGTCTACAGAATTGGGCAGCTCTTTGACTTCTTTAGAATGATGTCGTTCTACTTCACAACCGTTGGATTCTATGTCTGCACAATGGTAATTTTCCTATCTAGTGTTCTTTAAGTCGGTTTTCCTTCTTATCAGATTTAGTAAAATCTCTCTTTGATGCAGATGACAGTCCTTACTGTGTACGTCTTTTTATATGGAAGAGTTTACCTGGTATGTTATGGAACCTTTTATCTTTTCTTCGGTGTTTCTTCAATATAAAATGATGGGTAGTAATTGCTCTATGCGCGTAGTGAATTTTTAATCTTGTAGATAATGTTGCGTACTGCAGTTATTTTAAGAGTTTAGCCACATGCTGTTTAAGATTTGATTTGTTGTCGACTATAGTTTTGTAACAATAATACTAGTGCATATTGCTCTATTTATTAAGCTTTAGTGGGTGTGGAGTTATCCATCATACTACTTGACCTACCTTTTGAATATCAAAGGCATATGACACTTTTAACTCTGGTTGATCGACCTATTTACATGGGTGTAACATTCTGAAGAAATGCCACTACTTTAGTCTCGCAACTTGGTTAAACTGTGCAC